CTAAATATTATAACTTTGAGATTAAAATCAATAAAAAAATATATATTTAGATACAAATACGACGATAATGGTGAGATAAAGTGTAATTAAAAAAAATTATTATGGACGTTAAATTAAATTAATATATAATAAAATTTATAATATATTTAATATTTATAAAATTAACAAATAATTGAAATTTAATATTATTATTTTTATATCAAAATAATAATAACAAAATTAAAGCATGGTCTTTTATGAAAAATGGGACTTCAATGAGGATGAAAACTCTCATCAGACTCCTTCCTTCTAGTGAAAATACTAAGCAGGATGGAATCTTTTTTGTTCAATCACATTGATGGCATGGCATTCAAACAACTTATTGCGGTGCAATTACATAAAAAAATAGGATAAACGCGCTGAGTGATAACGATTCGATTTGAATAAAATTTAGTTGATTTTTTTTTATATTGTATAATATTATAAAAATTTAAAATTCAATTTGAATTTAAATCGAATCTTCATTGGATTTGAATTCGAACCAAATTTTCATTTGATTTTAATCTAACCAAATCAAATTTATTGGTTTGATTTATCGATTTTTAATTTTTTAATTTTTAAAATTTAAATTTTTAAATATTATTTTAATATAAAAATTTAATGTATTTAAGTAGATTTTGATATAAAATTATTAATTTTATTTTATAAAAATTTAAAAAATATATAAAAACTAAAAAATATATATAATTCGATTCGATTCGATTTTTTTTCTATTTTTCATATCTCAATCGAATTCTGATCCGAATCTAATTTATATATTTAATATCTGAATTTGATCCGAACCGAATAAAATAAAATCAATTTGAATTGAACTGAATACTACAATTTCGAATCGATTTTTGAATTTTTTGATTTTTTTCTCACCCTTCATTGAAACGGATTTCAATCATATCCAAATGCAGCCTTAGGAAGCAAAGAGTGTAACCACTAACTCATTATCTATTTAATACACAGAAGTCACGTTTGATGCATAAGATTATTAATAAGATAGGATCATAATTATCTTATATTATGTTGATTTATATCTAAAGAAAATGATATAGATTGTAAGGATGATTAATATTTTATTCGCATAGGATTATTCAATCCTCTCTAAGTAGAGAGGATCACTTTTAATCAATGAGATTGAACTTACATGTCTAATTATATTCTTAAAAATTATATCAATAATTTAAATTATATAAATTTTAAGAAAGGATAATTTTGATAAATAAATAAATTATCTTATACTAATCCTTCCATATATTAAACTAAACTTAGTGATTTATGTATTTATATCGTGTTTTACACGAAAATTACATGTCATAATTAATGTCGACACGAAAATATAAGTTTTTTTTATTCTATTAAACCTAGATATAATTATCGCTAAAACTTTAAGTTGCATGAGCTTCATGTCCTATTTCGTATTATATTCGTATAAATTTATTTTTTATATTTTTTTCGAATAAATTTAATCGAAAATGAATTTTTGAAAAAAATTAATGTAGCCGGAAATTTATTTTTGGAAAACCAAGTTATTAATTAGAAATTGATTTTTGAAAGTAAACAAAAGTTACCGAAAATTAATTTTTTAAAACTTTCTTAATGTATCGAAAATGCATTTTTGAAAAGTAATACAATAATTCAAAAATACATTTTGGAATGTAATTTTTCTTTTCGAAATTCTAATTTTGTTTGATTTGTAAAAATAAAGCAGTTCTTGATTTATCTCCTAATAACAATTCTACTTGGGAACTTACAAGGCACTCTCTGTTAATCCATTTAGGCTTATGTAGAATGAAATGGTTAGGTAATGCTTAAGTATGTGTTTCTGCATAACATTTTACCATTACTAACAGTGATTTTCTTATTATTAAGAAATATTGCTTTGTAAAACCAGTTTCAAAAATAACTAGATTCTAGTTATTGTTGTCAGCTCATTCTTCACCTAGCCTATCCTGTAGCAGTTATGCGTTTTGCTGCTTTTTGTTTTACTTCTAAGCAATTCTCTATCTGGATTTGTGCATTTCTCATGCCAGTATCCAACAAAGTAAAATAAGACCAAGTGAATTTATTATTCAATGGTTACTCTAAATCCAATTTCAACAAAAACTGTGATGAAATCCTATACTTCTATTCTTTAATATTAATCAAACAACAATTAAGATAATAATAAAAACAAATCCTCATTCTCGCAAGTGATAACACTAGATTAAATACCCTACTATAGGAGAAAATATTTATCTAAACCAATGCCTATTGATCTCAAAGGTAAGTAAGTTTTTAATTTCAAGTTTTATAAATAAAAAAAACAAGTTTGAGAGAGCTTGCTATTTTTATAGTGTTCAATCCGATTGGATCACGGATTAATTAAGGTCCAAAGTGATTATGGATATCGAAAAATCTCGAGTCAAAAAAAAAATTTTACCTAGATATCATAATAAATAACTAATTCGATTGGCACAATTCTAGGTGAACATATTCTGCATTTGGGGGCACTGATATATCCACAGTTGGTCTCAACTGTGTACAGAATTCAATAGCTCCATGAACGGGATCAGTACTATATTTGTCATTATCCAAAATTTAAAATAGAATTTGATTGCCTAGGCCATCTTTGGATCTTGTTGCTTGAACACGCTCGCCAAAACTTTCCACATCCAGGTCATTAAGTGAGAGAATGAACTTTCTTCACATGGTCATTAGTGTTGGTGAGGCCAATTCTGATACTGCTTGCCTAAGAGAATAAGTTGATGACCTGATGAAAGTGGATGAATTAGCAGAGTGGAGCTTGTCTCCGGACAATGACACTGGTTTGGACAAGCTCCACTCTGCTACTTTATCCACTTCTATGAGGTTATCAACTTCTTCTCCTAAGCAACAGTATCAGGATTGGTTTCACCAACACTAGTGACCATGTGAACAAATTGTAGACACATCCATTCCACTCGTTTGATCCAACAAAAGTTCTTAAAGTCACCTACGATGAACAGTTCTTGAGACATAGATCTGCATGAGTAAGGAAATTATGTTAAATTAAATACCCTTACATTTGCTCGTCAATTTTTACGAAAAACTTCTTCAATTTATCATAAATGGATTTTTGTGACTTCTTAAAGTCTTTCAAATATCCATTTTCGAAAACATTTAAAAACTTTCAAAAATTTATTTTCAAAAATTTTAAAAATCCTAAATTTAAATATTTCAACGTTCAAAAACATATGAAAATAAACACAAAATCAAAAGAAAAAATTAAAAAAATAAACGATTTACTCCTGATTTATGCTTTTTAATTTTAAATGGGTGAAATTTAGCTTGATTTGGGGCTTCAGATCCTTCGATAGAGAGTGTAAGTGTGAGGAAAAAAAAATAAGGTGCGAAGGAAAGAAGGTTGGGTGTTTGGATTTTAGGTAAATTTGTATTTTGGGTGTGGGGTACGGTAAATAAAAAATTTGGTGTCAAAAATAGAGGTTGTTTTAAGTAAATGTTGGTGTGCAAATAGCAACACTTTTTTTTTTTTTTCATTTCTTTACTTTTATACCCCTCTTATCTTTTTATATGATATTTTATAATTACAAAATATATCATTTATATAATTATATAATAAAATTATTAATAAATAAATAGATAAAATAATAAATATATAAACAAATGATCCATTTTTATAATCAAATAAATTCCTAGTAAATATTAAAAAAATATTTTTATAATTAATTAATTAATTAAAATAGATAACTAAATAAATAATAAAATAAATTAGTATTATTAACTTTTATTTTAAGATGTGTAAATGTATTTTGATTTGTTTAAAAAATAATTATTTTTTATTTATATTTGAATTGTTTATTTTGTTATATATTTTTATTTTTATTTTTATTTATAATTGTTATAAGTATTTCATATAATTTTTAATACTTAAAATTTTAATTATTATTTTAATATAATTTAATATGTGTTAATATTTTGATTGAATAAATTTTTAATATATTAAATGTTAAATAATATTAAAATATAGATACAAAATAATTTGTTACCATATTTTTAAACTAATATCTTTAATGATTATTATTTTTTTATTATAATTTATTTTATCATTATCGTTGCTTTTACATTTAAACATATATTTTACTATTGATTTTAATCTCATCGTTATAATATCTAATTTTATTATTATAATAATTAATTTCACTTTCACCTTTATTTTTAATCTCACCGTCTATAAAAAAAAAAAAAAAACCTAAAATATTACAAGTCAAAACTTGCATTAACCTTCAGAGAAACATATTTTTATCCAATAACACAACTACAAACCAAGAACGAAGAAAAATTAGTAGTTCTCAGGATCCATGCTGTAGGCTTTCTCTTTGTCTGCATTCAGCAGAGTGATGCTAACGCAAACGACCATGGGAAATGAAAGCAGTATGCATAGATATGATAACAGGTTTTCTTAAGGAGAAGAGAATGATTCTGAATTCTTATCACAATCACAAGATGAGAAGCATCAAGCTCCCTAGCAGAAATGATATATAGGCATCAAATGTAATTTCCAAGGTGTAAACAACTAAATATTATACTCCACCCCAGTTCAATCCCTCTGAAATATTCCAAGAGTTTTACCTTATTTTAGTTGAATAAATCATATCATTTTTTACTAAGATTATGGTCTAATTTGTCACTTTATTGTAGATCAATATTAAATTTTATTATTATTTTAATTTAATTAATATTTTTGACTTTTTGCATAAAATAAAAAAAAATTTATGAAAATATTTCAATTTTGTTATTTTTATTCGAAAATCAAAGAAATTTAAATTTCAATGGCACAATTTATCATTTGAATAACTAAAATATTTTAATTTTATTATTTTTTCCCAAAAATCAGTAATATTAAAAATACAATTGCAAAATTTATTAAAATTAAAGTACGGTAACAAAATTCAATATTAAATCATCAAAAATGACAAATTTTATCTAATTTCTTTTTTTGGTTTAATTGCCTCATTAAGATTAAGCCAAATTTGAATAGTCCATCAGAAAAAAAAAATTGTAAACAAAAATGTCCATCAAATGATTTCCTAGGCACCCAAGTTTCTGTATATCTCCTTGTCTCAACTTCCTTTTCATGCCCTGATACACAAATTTTTAATACAGCTGCACCTGAGCAGGAACCCTCAAATGTCCCCCCCAAGTAATAGCAGATGGACCAAAGAGATGGAGTACAATTGCCATAACTGTAACTATGAAGGATTAATGCTTCTTCTAAACAAAGTTTTTTCGAGCATTCAGAATTTTGCAGTACATGAACAGCAACAATGACCTGAAAACATGTTCAGGGTTCTGCTTTGGCGAAAACAAAATAAGGCAGTATAGCCTTTTTCCATGCCCTTCATCTGGTCTAACAACAATGGTCATGATGCAACTAATATTTACCACTTCTTATTGGGTTAAACACTACAGATATCTGCTAACAAGCAGATAATGGGATCTATATATCATTACTTGTCCTAATAGGGGCCTTTATAGAACCAAAAATGGAGACCCTGTCAACTAGAATTTAACTACTGAAACCAGATTTTTCATCCCAATTCTCAAACTACTAGTTTTCATCAGGCTGAAGAGTCTAGTCCCACCTCTTCTGAAGCTGAGAAGCTATAGGCTCCTTGTTTGCTGTCCCAGTCACCGTTTTCTATTGCAGGTTCAAACCGCTTCGGTTGTCCAGCCTCAACCCTTCGCTTGTATTCTGAAATCATCATTCAAAATAAATCCATTGAATATTTAAATGAAAACAGCTCAGATAATAAGGGTAGAATCCATGAAGAAAGTGTTACTTTTATCAGTAATTGAACGGCGAGTATAAGCCAAAAACTCATCCCACTTGAACTTCCTAAGCTCTAGCTTTTCCTCCTCCGGAAGCTCAAAGTTCGGCTCCCTTCCACACATGAAAGCAGCTCTACAGATAAAAATGTCTACCAATGAGTTTCAAAATCCATTAGTCTATCTATCAACATAACTACTCTGTGTGTACTTTTATTTTATTTATCATCAATGTACATGAACACTTTCAAAGAAATTCATTAATAACATGAAGAACAATTTTACCTCATGCCATTGGTAAGTGTGAAAATAAATGAATAGGACTTATTCTTACAGCAAATCAATGTTTGTATCAGACTATGGTATATAAAGCTTAAAGTTTTTGCATTTATATCACAGTATCCAACCTCCATACTTCATGCTACTGAACAATAATATTTGTATCACAAATTGTCATCAGAGTTTCTAGACAAATTGTAGTAGCAATCATTATAAGCAAAATACAAGCCAACTCATTACCTGTCATATAATCGGGCAGCTTCTTCTTGCGAACCAACAGTCCCTAAGTGAATTTGTTTCTTGTCAACTTTTATTGCGGCCTGCCATTTCATATTTTTGAAGTATACACCCCTCATTAGACATGGTTCTTGGTTTTGAACATGTTTCCTCCTGTGTCGCTTCCTGCGTTTGATTGGTTGCCCTACAGATAATAACATTGTACATCAGCATCAGTCAAAATGTAGAAATTAAAATGGTTCTCACAATCAGATTTTGATGCTAATAAGTAATGAATCTGGAAGCAGCATGGCTTGAACTCAGTTCTGAGATATCTTTTTTGTCTTTATTGTAACTAACAAATGCCATTTATCACAAGCAGCACTCTAAGATAGCCCGAAAAGGAGACAAAAAAAAGTCCAAAACCCACAAGTCAACAGGATTCTAATAGAGAAGATAAAACAGTCCCAGTTTCGCACGTTAAATATCCGCAGATCAAATCATTTTCGTAGCATCATTTCACAACATTGATTCTCTAGACAGTAATTTACCATACTCCATGCTTGAACTAATGATGTCAAAATTATGAAACTTTGATGGACAAATTGTGTAATGATGTTATTTTTCTTCTTTTGCACAAAGATAAAGCTTATATGCTAGCGACAAATCAGGGATACACAAAACCAGTAAGAGGCCAGAATGGTGCGTAAGAGAGCAGAGGTTGTGATGGAAGAAGTAAGCATTTGGAGAGTTTTAGCATAATCTGCTGAATATAAACCACAGCATATTAATCCATGCAGCTTTACCATCCTAAATACAAGTATGGCAGGGATGCACTTCTTTGTATCTATTTAAATCCTAATGCACTTCTTTCTAACCATTTGAATCTGAATATGGAGGAATGGTGACCAACCATGACATTTAAACCCATTAATGAGTATAAGCTAGTGTTTATAAATGCTCAGGTTCCATTAATCCCAAAAGAACATGTATAGCCAGCCAATCTACTTTCTCTGATCAGCTGCATATGGAATTTGATAAGCTGGAAACCCATTAATATCATCTGAAGACACATAAATTTTCAAACTAATCCCCATTAAACAAATTCCAAGACATGCATTCTTGTCTGGAAATATGTTTATGATCATAAAAACAAAATCATTCACTGAAATGTAACTTAAAAATGAGGAAACTCCAGCTTAGGTAAACTATAGTGAAATTTCTAAGCGATAGTAGTTGCACCTCACAACCCAATAGTTGAGTACAATTTCAGACAGCAAAAAAAGCTTTTTCCGTTGGATTGGAGTTGCTGAAATTAAAAGTCCCAACTCCCAAATAACGATCATGCAAAATGTGATTGGTTTAATCAATTGATCGCCTCAATTTTCTATGTTGTACTAGCACCTTATTATGTCATTACTTCCATCCATGCATCAGTTCCTTCTTGCATAACAATATTCTCTCATTTCATTAAAAATGGGTTTTCCACATGCATATGAGGCAAAGGAAGTGAGAGAGAGAGGCACTTGATTTTTTGGTTATTTTCTATCTTACTAAAAATAGACATGCAAAGAGACAAAAAGTTAGAGAGGAAGAGGGGTTAATGAAGGAAAGATCAACACCAAGGCATAAACAAATAAAAGTTTTCCAGCTTTATCAATATTAACAAACATATGGAACATGTGTTTCCAAAGAGACAAACCTGGAAAATGTTGATTATGATGCTCTTTCGATGAACCAGAACCAGATATATTTGGTGATCCAGACCCAATCTTAGCAATGCTTTTCTGAGAAACAGCATCATATACTTATATGTGAGTGTTAATTCTATAGTTAAAAAAATAAAAGAAAAAAGAAATTGAACGGTACATGCCAATTAGTATTTATCCATCATGACATTAAGAAACTGAACCATTTAATATATTTATAAAGAAGCTCATTTGACCAGTATGCTGATTAAATAAACTCAAATATCACCAAAATATGACTACAGCAAAGGGTTTAAACAAACAATAAAAAAGATTCTAAAAATCCAGATAGCATTTTTGCCTTATAAGTTAAAGCAACTTTGAATCAAGAGTAAAGTTGGCCAGTATATGGAGGCACTTAAATAGCTTTTTAATTGATAACTCTCTATTTACCGTGTGATTCTAGCTCAAAAAGGAAGCAGGATAAATTAAGTGAGTTTTTTTTATAAGAATGGGTGCCCCAGGATGCAATGGACTGACCAAACATCAACAGTTAATGGATTCATCATATCCTTTTCATTCCTCCATACTGGCAGAGAAAATCAGGAATCCTTAGGATCAAATACATGGCAAAAACAGAAGAAAAGATACTATCATTACCATTTGCAAATTTTTTTCTATCAATTGTGAGTGAATACATAATTCCTTCTATTCAATAATTATCATCCAACTCAGTTAAAGGAGTCAAAACAAGTAGCACGTACCATGTCCTACTTTTTCTCATGGATTCACCTTTTAGCTCACTCCTATATAGAATAACCACACATGCCACAAATAGATGCCTTGGATAGTCATATAACTATAACTATTACACCAACCATGAAAATTCGCCAATCACACGAAAAGATACAGTTGTGACAGGCCACCATGCAAATACAGATAGCAAAATTAAGATGACGATAAAATGTAATCTCTGTCAGCAATCATCAACTAAAGACACATTCTATCATGTTTACATTATTGCATATTACCAATCCTTCCTAAAATATGGAAACAAAGACGATCCAACATAAGGGAAGAGATATTCTTCCATAATGACAGATAGTCTTTCTTTTCTTTTCCCTTTTTGTCAACAAAGGGGGATGAAATGATTCACTCCTAGAATTATTATATTGTGGAAAAGACATTAGTAAATATACACTCACGGACAAAGCTAAGTTCCAAGAACAGTTTAAGATTAGCAGAGGTTTAAAAGAAAGGGGAAAATAAACTTGAAGATCCATAATGGTATATCCTTTCCTTTTTTTTTTTTCTCAATAACAGATATGGAATCTGACACCCCCAGCCCCACTGTTGTGCATTCTATGCATGCTGGTCATTCAAAATGTTGGAAACTGATAAATATGTAAAAGTGGCCAATAATTTGACATAAATTAGTAAGGCATTATTAAGGCAAGCATCCCTAGCCCAAGGGAAAAGGATAAATAGAATCTCTCCAAACTGCTGAGTTAACACAATACAGTAACAGAACTAGTGATACAAAACCAACTCATATCAACACAATCAAGAAGTCAAACTAAAACCGTGAAACCATATAATACTACATCTAATCAATTGAATAATAATGCATTCTTACCCCATACATGTGGTTGACGGAATCTGAGGGCATGGGATGCACAATGACTGACTTTGCATTCTGACTTGAACTTTCAGGGCCATTTCCATTATCAAAAAATCTAGGAAGTGGATTAAAAAAGGGACTCTTACCTACAAAAGGTCACCAAATTTGGTGAATGACATTATTCAAGCGTAGTTGATAACTTGTTAGATTACATTCTAAGTAACTGGTAGTTTACTCAAACCAACTGAGCTTAAAAACAAAAAGGCAAAGAATTGAAGGACACAACTTACACAACAATATATAGAAAATATTGCTACTCATTGCTATCAAGAGAAGCAATTAACTATTTTACTATGCAATATAAAGTACATTTCAGAAGTTTACCAGAGCAAAGTCCAAGGAGCTTGCGTCTGCGTAAGCTCACCATGTTGACGATCCTTGAATCAGTGAACAATGGTTTAGTTTATCGTCCTTTGCATTTATCCCTGCGTCTGTGATCCTAAGATTACCAAAGATGGGCGAGTTATCAGTGGATTAAACAATTTGAAAATGACAAACATTAAAAAGGAAAATATTAGAACAATGAATAAGCATGGCAGATAAAAACAGAAGGCTGAGAGATATAGGAAACGGGACCATCAGATAAGTAAACAAGATATCATCAATCGTAGGTTTATAGCAAAAGGAGAAAAAGCCGTTCCTTTGGGTCATCAAAACAACGAGTCAATGAAAGTAATCTGATGATCCTAAGCAATTTAGACAAAGAAATTCAAGGAAAATGGAGTTGCCAGGTGAAATTCCCAGATGTTAATAAACTTTTTGTTATCGAATATTAATGTCAAACAGAAGTAGTTCATACAGAATTTGGTTGGCTGAAAACCAACTATTTTCTCATCATCACGTACGTTTGATTTCAATAATGCTACATATAGACAAGCAGGGGTTCAATCCCATGTACGGATTAGATTTCTGAAAAAAGAAAACAGAGCTGATGCTGGTAAAACGGAAATCATTCATAAAGGGAATTAAAGAATAATATGAACAAAACAATGCAAATCGCACGAAACGTTTTTAGTCACCACATATTCAGGTGAAATAGTGTTCACTTCTAAAAGTTAAACAGGCACCCGATAAGGAGGCGAGGCTACATAAAGCTCAGCAATAATTTTTTTTTTGTTAAAAAAAGAGATAAATTCATCATAATTTGCATAAAGTAAAGCCAAAACTTTCATCATGTGAAACTAACAAAGCGGTCCAATGAGTCTGCCTAATAAAAATCCCGATTATCTCGCCGTGGAAAATAAGTCAACCCCACCAACCTACCACCTTTCATGGAAGCAGAGGCACTGAAAAAACAAGCAACCACAAAACCCAAACCCCAAAACACACAAAAACCAAACAGAAAAAAGGACCCACAAAGCCAAAGCCTTTAAGCCCATCAAAGAAAAAAAAATGGCCACGACTCGGTGACCAGGAACCGCAAAAATCCACCCATTACAAAGAAGAAGATAAATAAACAAAAGGAAAAGAAGTCATTACTTTTATCATTTGTTTGGTACCTGAGAAAGAGAAAGAAAAGGTGGTGGTTGAGACAGCGTAGAAATCGGGGAGAAACAGAGAGAGACGGGTTTTAAGGTAAAACTAAAATCTGGTAAAAACAAAAAAAATATGTAAAAAAGATTTAGGAGTTTTAAATCTTTTTCTTTCTTAAGGCCTAAAGTAAGCAAGGAAGGAAGGTTGTTAAAAAAGAGAAGAGTGAAGAAAGAAAGAAACGATGACAGCGTTGGTGTTTTGGTGGTTCATGCATCTACCACCTTTTGTTTGTTTGTTTTTATGTTATAAATTCTTTTGAGTTTTGAGTGAAAGCCCTTTTTTTTGTGGTAGTATGGTGGCGCTGCTGCCGCTGATGGTGTACAGAAAAAAAAAAAAAAATCAAAGCAAAGCAAAGGGCTAAGCCAACTGCAAAGCCAAAGGCCAAGTCTTTGTAGAGAGAGAATGTTGAATATGGGAAGGGAAGAACGTATGCTTGTATTTGTGTGTTTTTTTTTTTGGTCTTTAGTCAGCTGTCCCATGATTCCTCTATTGCCCTTTCATTCTTTCCAATTACCATATCTCTTATGTTTCCATTTTTAGACCATATCACCAATAATTCCCTTTCCTATAATATTACAATTAATCAATCATAATTAAAAATTATTTAAAAATTCACTACTTAAAAATATAAATTCTACATAATTTTTTATAAAATAATTAATTAATTACACTATAATAATTATAACTTTGGGTATTTACTAAAAAAAATCAGGGTTTAAGTTTTAATTTATTTTATAAATCACATTTTTTGAAAATTTTTAGTTATGTTTCTTTTTTTTTAGATAAATTATAATTTCCTTTAAAAGATAAACAAACAAATTAGAATTTTAAGTTACAAAATGTTTCTTTCCTTAAGGTGCTTTCCCCAACCGAATATCAATGAACTTTTGATTGACTAATGCTGTTCTTATTCTAAAAAACAAGTCAAAATACTTTTTATTTTTTGAGCAATTATATGTAGAGAAATAAATAATGATTGTCAATAATTGATAAGAGTAATATTATTCTATATTAAATTAACATTCTATTTGGTTTTTCACCAAATATATAACGCTTGAATTCGATTACTCTCAACTATATATAATTTATATATAGTTGTCATATTTGAGGCTAAGTAAAATAACGATTGTGTTTTGAAAAAATATGAAAGAAATAAATTTTTTAATTTTTTATGTGAAAATAAAATGTGTTATATTTAAATCATTTAACGACAAGTGATTAGAAATTATACATTTAAAATAATTTTAACAAAACTCGAACTCGATATTTTTATATTAAATATTTGATTTTTTTTATCAATCGAACTAATCATTTATATTAATAATATTTAGTGATTCAAAGGTCATAATTATCTTTTTGTTTATTAAAAACCCTTACAGACAATCTTTTTGTTTATTAGAGACTCTTACAAATAATCAAAGATATTTTAAATATTTGTATCTATATAAAATATCGGATTTATTTGATATATTTAATATCATATTAATTCGATCATATTATTATTATTTTTTATCTATAAATATGAGTATTCAAATAGTATTACGATATTTTTTTTACCTTTAATCTCTTTTTTTTTTATCTTTTTTATCCTGATTTTTTATTTACATATTGAAATATAAATACATAAATATTTACACTTTTCAGTTTTTTCTGATTATCTTGTTTTTACTATTGATAAAAAATTAATAGATGTTCTTTTATTATCCAAGCACAATTATGTCTGTGATAATGATTTTCGACAAAAAATAACACATATTTCTGAACTTAAAGCTATTAATGAAAAACCTTAATTTTATAAAATTTTACAGAAAAACTTCAGTGAAGACCCATTGAAGCTTTGGAAGTGCAATCCAAGATACTGTGAACTTACTTTTCAATCTCCAAAAAAGATTATTTGAGTAAAACCAATGATCTATACCAAATATGATATAGATAAATTTGAAGTTCAAATTTCAAAATTGTTCGACAAAAGTCTGATAGAACCAACTATCAATCCACACTCCAGTCCAGCATTCATAGTAAGAAATTATTATGAGATTAAATGAGGTAAACCTCGTATGATTATTATTAATTACAATAAATTAAACCAAAATCTTATTTTTGATGGTTATTTTATCTCTCGTAAAGATGTTTTAATTAATTTAATAAAAAATACTAAATATTTTTTTAAATTTAATTGTAAATCAGATTTTTAACAAATCATACTAAATAAAACCTTTAAATCTCTTACTGTTTTTAGTGCACCAGCATACCATTACTAATGGGAATAGATATGGAGGGGCACTTAGGTCATTTGGCACTTGAGGCCCCGTGTCGTGTCAAGGGTGTAGAAGATGGAAGACCAAATGGGCATAATGGGGAAAGCAAACGGTAGACAATGGGCTAAGGGAAATTATTAGCAGGGTGGGTTGGTTGGTTGGTAGCGAGCGAAAGGTACCGACGATGCTCTGAGTGGACGGGCGGCCTGCCGTATAAGCTGTGTTGATAATGTACTGCCAACCTCATCCCTAAAAACTTTTTCCCAGTTATTTTCCTCCATTCACTTCTTTATTTTTTAAAGCTTTTTTATGGTTTAGATACTAAAAATTTATATGTTTGATCCATATTTTTAAAATTTGTTCAAGATTCAATTATATTAGTTTAGTTAAAATTTTTTAATTTTTTTAATAATTTTTTTAAATTGCATCAATATTTTTATATTTTGATAAAAAAATACTTTCAAAAATTAAATTTGAAAAATTTTGTCCAAAATCCTGTTCGGATTTAATTAGGATGATGAGCTCGACCAGCAGAATTTTCGGGCAGTGAAGAGCCGTAATTTAAAAGTTTAGTTAATCATCCTGCTTTACCTTAAAGAATTTACAATTTACATTAATTTAGTTGATAGTAAGACCAATTAATTACATGTGATAAAAAAAATTTATAATAAATAGATTACTTAATTTTTAAAATCAAAATAAAATATATCGTATATGATAATTTAAGATAAATAATTATAAATTATATATTTAAAATAATTTTAATAAATAATTATTTATAAAATTCGAATCTAAAATTTTTTCTTTTAAAAAAATAAACCTTAATGAATTACAAAAAAAATATTGCTTATGATAAAAGAATGATCCATTGTCTTTTGTAATCCATCCAATATGAAGGTCATTCGGTTCAACCATTTATGATTAATACATCATTAGTATGCCCAAAATCATTGTATATCAACAGATAAAGCTTGCTAATTAATTCCCATATACCAATCTCATGATTTATTATCTAATTGGATTATATACAAGGAAAAGTTCTTTTTCTTTTTTTTTTTAAACTCATTTACATGTATAAATTTATATTAAATTATTAACCTTTTAAAAAACAATAACTGAATAAGATATAACTTGAAAAAATATAATTGAAAAATTATAAATTATTCAAAAAAAATTAATACATAAAAATTCGAACATATGAAATCTGTAAACGTAAGACCTCAAAGAGTATTATGTATACAACGTGAGACACGTTGATGGGAATACACGTACGGTACGTCTCAGGCGTCCTAAAACAGTGGGTAATCAAACCTAAAGTCAAAACAACCAAAACGATCCAATTCCATTCCGCCGTACTAAAAACGTGCAAAATGAAGTTCTGTTCACACGTGTCGTATTGTGTGTGTGTGTGTGTTTTGAGTGGACTGAAAGTAGCCTAGACGCTTGGCTTGATGATTGGTGGTCAAACAACAAGACACATTGAATGTCGGGACCAGTGGGGCAGTCACGTGCTTTTTATCTCCTTTTGTTTTTTTAAAAATAATTTTAAAAAAATGATTTTAAAAAATTATTTATATTTTTTGAATTGAAAATTTTTTTATTATTTAAATGAGTTAATGAAAAATATTTTTTGTGTTATTTTTTGTTTTTAAATAATATTAATATAATTATTAAAATATTAAAAATTATTTATTATTAAAATATATTAAAATTATTTGTTATTAAAATTATTAAAATTAAAAATAATTATATTTTAATAATAATAATTAATATTAAACTATTATGTTAATATAAAAATACTTAAAATAAAATTATTTATTTTATATAATTTATTAATAAATTATAATATTATTTGTTAATAATATTTATTAATATATTATATTAATAGTATATTATTTATTAATATATAATTTATTAATATAATTTTATTTATTTATTAATATAATATTATTTATAAATAAAATTATATTAAAAAATATTAATAAATAGTTCTATTTATAAACAATTTTTTTATAAAATATTTTTTTAACTCTGTAAGATAATTTAAAAAATAATTTTATTTTTCATTAATTAATAAATTATTTTTTATTAATAAACTAATCTTCTTTCAAACAAATATTTAAAAATACAAAAATTATTTTTTAAAAATATTTTTCCGTAAAACAAAGCGAGCCTTATTTTAATGCAAACAATGGCTGTGCATTTCAAATAGGGCCTTTAGTTTTGATGAAATTAAAAATAATAATAATAATTATTATAGTTATGATTAAAAAATATTATTATAATTATGATTAAAATAATTAATAAAAAAATTATGTTCACTTAATTTTATTAAAATTAATATTTAAATTTAATTAATAATACGATAAATATAATCATATTATACCACAATTGTATTATATCAAAAATATGATAAAATCCATACTAGGACTTAGAATACCATTGGCCGTTGCACCACCCTCATGGAGATCACCAAATGACTTGATTTCTTTCTCTTCTTAGGTCATGTAGGAATGGACCGGTGGTTTATCCATCCCAGTGTCCATCGTAATGCCGATGGACTTCGTTTCAGTCTCCTCCTCTCTTGTTCAAATTGCATACATAAAACATTCACCTATAATATCAATAACACATAGTCGACAATATTAATTAATATTTGACTCTCAGCATAGTAAAAGAAAATAAAAAATTATTATCATCACTTAATTAATCCAAAATTTATGGATCAAATATCAAATTTAACCCGAACAAATATAACTAATATTACAAATATCCCTCAAATCAACTTTAATCACTCATCCCATATAATTATATTGATTTTATTAATACGTTTAAGTGATGGAAAATAATATATTCTAAATAAATACTAATCTTCTAGGCCTGATGGATGATGTGTCAAGATCATCGCCGTTGAAACCAAGACCCACCAACCATATTCCTTATATATATATATTTAATTAAATGAGCAGTTGGCATTAAATTAAAGTTTGGGGTAATTTTAATATATTGTATAAATTTATTTTTTTATAATATTATTATTTGTGATTAATAATATTTATTTTTATCTTATAATTTTTATTATTTTTAATTTGTATACGTTACATTTCAATTTTATTAAATATTGGGAATAGTGTAAATTATAAATTTAATAATTTAATGAGAGATACAAGGGATAAAATTTGTCAGATTGATTGAAAGACTACCACCAAGATAGGGCAGAACGACAAAATTTGTAACTTTTGAGTGACCGTCAATCTAAAGAGCCCGGCAGGCACTTGGGTTATAGTCCATGCAGAGGCCTAAAATTCCAGTACCTTAACGGATTTCTGGCTAAGGCCCAAAAGTAAATAAATATTACATGAAAGCCCGCTTTGAATTTTCATTCAGTTAATTTCAAATAAAGTTATTAAAAATCAAATAAACCGAATTTTATTATTTTATTTTTATTAATAGAATTAAATTACTTAATTTCAAAATTTACTTAACAAACTTAATTCAATTTATTCGATTAAAATTTTTTATTATTCAAATAATTAAAGCAAATTAAATTAAATTTTAAAATTTTATTTTTTCGCATGTGAAATAAATTAAATAAAATTATTAAAATACTCAATAAAATAAATAATTATATATATAAATTTAGGGTATTAAAAATTATTTTTAATAATATATTAAAATTAATTCGATAATCGATTGATCTCGAATTAATTGATTAAAACCGAATTATCAATATAAAAGCGGTTCTTAAGACCCAAAATCACCGTCACTATTCCAACAAAGCAACAGCGAAGGTAATTGAAGAAGCAGGCTAGGGTTTCCTTCGAAAATGATCTACGACGTCAATTCTCCTCTCTTCCGCTCATTCCTCAGCCAGAAGGGCGGCTCCTCCGACAAGAGGTTCGTCTCTCTCTCCTTATCTTTTTATTCGAATTTTTATCTGCATATTTGCTTAATTTTTTAGTCCTAGTTTCAACGCGATTAACGTGAATGATTAATTGATTGTACTCATTGGGAGTTGAATAAGTACGAAATGGTGACTGATTTCTTGATATTAAAGCACTATTGCCTATTTTAATGGGAGAGGTCAAAGGGGAAATTCAATCAAGTGCTTCCTCTGGGCTTTAGCGGAAATTTGACAAGATAATATGTACTGATTTTAATTTCAATTATCTATAATAAGTTTTTCAACTGTTTGTTGACAGATTAGAACAAGGTTTTTCGAAAGATTTGTCTTATCAGCAGCGTGAATCTGATGTTTAGAATGAGTTGGCTTGTGTCTAATTTGTTGAAATTCGTGGTTCTGCGTTAATAGGGCTTGGCTAGTTGGTTTATTGTGATTGATTTTATCTGAAATTAGGAGAATTTGCTTACTATATCTGAAACTAGTGGTGCTTCTAATGTCATAATAGGACCTTTTACTTCTCATCATTACTGGATTCTATGCGATAAGATAATAATGCAACCTACAACTTTGGAAGTGTTGCAGTTGCAGCTTTTATTGCTCTCTTTCTCTCTCTCTCTGAAACTTAGTGAAGCATCTTTTTAACTGGCGGCACTGAATTGGATTGTGTTATGTGGTTAAGTTTTAGAGGAAAAATCTGTTTCTGTTTTGCTAGTTTAGCTTGGTATGTTGATTAAAGTGCTTGTCTCCCTTAATTTGCCCTATGCTAAAAATGATTATGTGGTTTTTTTCGTTTGCATCATTTACAATCTGCCACCTTGGATTATACCTTGAGCCGTTGAAATCTTATTGGAAGAGAAGGTTTTGTTCTGATTACATACTTCTAATGTGTGGATATAATTTGTGCTTGACCTTTCAGGAAATTGGAGGAGCAGAAGCCTAAGGAACAGAAACCCAAAGCAAGTGAGAATAAGCCTGTCATGACGGAGTGATAGGTGCCCTTTGTTTAGTATGCTTTAGGATGGGAGAGGCTGGTGGATGTTTTAAAATGGTAGGATAATTGCTATGAGAATTCTGTTATGTTTTGGTATCGCAAAATAGTTGTGGATGTTTCGAAATACTATCATAATGGCTTTTCTCGTTTGAGGTGGAATGAACTTGTTCTTATCTGGCTTTCGAGTTTGTAATTTTCTGTTGCTATGGTGTTATTTAATATTTAAGTTTGTGGTTGAATATTCATAGATTTATCTGCAATTAGGGTATTAATTCTATCAAGAAACTCCATGTTTTGGGCTTGAGTGGGCTTTAGGAGTATCAATGGTGCTACTTTTATCTTGCAATGCTAGTTGTGCATGGATTTTATGCAAAGTGCATATGGTTTTAGATTCTAATGCCATTGTCTCGGTTTGAGTTATGTTGTCAGGGGCTGATATCTCAACTATTATTTGCCTCTTTGTTCTCCCTCTGTTTCTCGGTTTCAAAATTCTGAAGTCATGCCCTGGAAGCTGATCAGGTTAGTTTAAGGCAACAAATCCCATGGTAATGGCATTGGCTTTGACTTCCTATAGTTCTACCTTGCTAGAGACGGGTATTCAATGGACCGTTTGATGCTACCCTGTTGTCTTCTCTCCCTTTTCTTCTCTTCTGGTGCCCTGCTTAAGCGGTAGCGTGTTGTTTGGTTTAGAGGTACGGATACCCTTTTATGCATATTGACGTAAAGATAAACTTTTTCTTAGGGCTAACCATTCTCTTTGCGGGAGACATGTTGACATTGTTGAGAGCTGGGTCCCGATTGCTTCATCATAATGGAAGGAGCGATTATGAGTTTTATGACTGAGTTGGGTTTTTGGTGGTGCAGAACCAAATCTTAGTTCATTTTTCTGTAGCTTGGCTAATCATATTTCAATGACTCGGATCTCATATTGGAATTAACCTACTTGATAGCGGTTCAAATCAAATTTGATTTAATTTTTTCGAATATTATATAATATTATGAATTTTTAAATTTTGATTTGAATATGAATCGAATTTATATACGATCAAAATCAAATTGAACTGTATTAGAATGATTTAGTTTATCAAATTTTAAAATTTAATTTTTTTATTTTTTAATATATTTAAGTAGATTTTGACATAAAATTATTATTTTTATTTTATAAAAGTTTAAAAAATATATAAAAATTAAAATATATATAATTTGGTTTGATTTGATTTTTTTAATTTTTTATCATTTGATTTGAAATTCAAATCTAATTTAATATATATATATATATAATATTCGAATTTAATTTAAATAGAATAAAAAATTTAATCTAAAATGAATCAAATGTTATGATTTCGTATTGGTTATTGATTTTTTTAATTTTTTTAAATTTTTTTTCTTTCCCCTAGCTTTAAATCTAGAAAGAATGCATGGTGAAATTGCGTCAAGTCAAATAATTGTGCTAGAGATGATCTAAAATCTGATTAATTAGTTGAGCCTCAAACATCTGCTAGAATATACTAACGACCAACCATCATATTTGTCAAAAAGCACCCCTAGCTATTGTCATTCACTCCGACAAAATGAGAAAAGGAAATTCTTTTCTTTTTTGCTAAGCTATCTTGTTTTTCACCAAAGACTAGACAACGCCAATGTTTTATAATGAACAATGAAAGATTTTTGTAGTCAAACGTAGATAAAAAGCACTTGAGTGCCCATAAGTGCCTTCCCATGTGCATCCAATCCCAGTTCCCACCCCAACCCCCCCTTCATCTCCAACCCTTAACCTTCTTATTTGCAACAATTTCTTTAATTTTTAAAATGTCTGAGAAAATCCTTGCCTGTAAATTATAATTATATAAATCATATAAGGTAGAAGGATCACTTAAGGATTATTTTGTTAATTTATATTTAATTAAATTAATACATATCAATACTCTAACCCTATTTGTGAAGTAAATTTTTTTTTTAAAAGCTGGGCATAAATAAAGAATATATCATAATGAATTTAAGTTTATATTTTGTCATGAATGAATTAATTGATATCAAGGTAAAGAATAAAGTCCTGTTGACATGGTAGATCTCTTTTGTAATCTACTCAAAATCTTAGCTTAAAAAAATTAAAAAGAAAAAAAAAACCCCAAAGTTGGTGGTTATAGAAATAGGAAAGGACGGGAAAGTTTCCAAAGTGGCTTTTGTTTCTTGTCAATGTTAGTTAATCTCTTGTCTCAGTCTCTCTCCTCAGTCTCTTCCCTTTATTCACGCCGCTTTCACTTCCCAATTTTCATTCATGTACTGCTACTTTTTTGTTCATTGCCATTTACTTAACCAGAACAAAACAAAAGAACCCAAAATTTTCAAAGTCTTGTTTCCTCACCCTGTTAGGCTGTTCCCATCCATTAGCATCTGCTCTCTGTTGTTTCCTCACTCTTGTGTTTTGCTCTCTCTTGTTTTCACCAAAAATGTCTGAATTTTCTTTGGCTTCCGCAACTGCCAAGAAGAAAACTCATTTGTCAAGTCTGTTAACTCATTTGTCAAGTCTGTTGCTCTCTGACTTTATAATCTTTTGTTCTTTCATTCTCTCCCACCCTCTCTATTTCTCTTACTTCATCTTCCTCTCCCCTTACCTCTTCAAGATTTTCTCTTTTCTTTCACCTCTCTTTGTTACCACTAGTCTCTTGCTTCTTGCTTTTTTCACTCTTACTCCCAGCTTTGTCAACCAAGCTGGTTCTTGCCACCTCGAATATTTACCAGAATCCAAGGTAAGTTTCCTACTTACTACCTACCAAACACTTGTTGAAACATTAAGGTCTAAAGTTAACGATGAAAGTGATGGCTTCGGATGCTTGGAAGAGCTTGAAGCATATAAGATCGTGTTTGAAACATCAACTACTCTTGAAGTTTTGGAGATGGCGACCAAAGAAGATTGCTTGGAAGCTGTTGATGCTCCCGTTGACAAGGGTGTAAATGTACGTGAAACATTGACGAGTACTAGTTTAGATGAAAAATCAGGGCAGGTTACGCGTCCAGAAAGTAATCAGGTAAAGGCAGTGGTGAAGATCTTTGAAGACTTCTTGCAGGAAAAGGAGGGCGTTGAAAATTTGTCTTTGAAAAGGAGAGAAAAAGAAGTCAAGTCACTAAGCGTAGAGTCCAATAAAGGTGAGGAACAAAAAGAAGAAGAGTTGATGAGAAGCGGATCCAAGGCAATGGGGAATAGAATAAGTGATCCTAAAGTGAGTGCTGACAATGGCGGGGAGCATGCTGACAAAGCAATGGTGAATTCCCAAAGAGCTAATTGGAGTACTGAAAATGATGGAGATAATTACAATTCCAAAGTTACAGATAACTACCAAACAATGGGATCAACTCTTGGGAATTTCGGGTCAATGAGGAAAGAGAAGGAGTGGAGGAGGACATTGGCATGCAAGCTTTTCGAGGAAAGACACAATATGGAAGGAGGTGAAGGGATGGATTTGCTTTGGGAGACATATGAAACTGATTCCAATAAGGTGCAACTGAAAAGCAGGTCAAAGAAAGGAAAGAAAGGTGGCAACGAGTACTACGATCATGATGAGGATGGCTATGAGGAAGACTCGGATGGGCAGTTGTGCTGCTTACAGGCCCTTAAGTTCTCAGCTGGAAAGATGAATTTGGGAATGGGAAGGCCTAATCTTGTTAAGATCTCCAAGGCCCTGAAAGGGATTGGATGGTTGCACCATGTTAGCAGCAGACATGTCAAGAAAGGGGTACCAGTAAATTAGATTTTACTCTCTATTAAACTATGCTTGATGAGAATAGTGGATATGTGTATTTCTCTAAGGATCACAAGTAAATATGTTCTTTGATTTCACATGAAATGTAGCTCTTTTTTCTTTTTCTTTTTCCCACTTGCATGGGGTTGATGAATGAGACAAACAACTGCTAGAGCATAAAAAATTTGCAGAAACCCAACTTTGCATATTGTGATTCTGCATTGCAACATTTGCTCATTTCTTGCTGTTAAGGTAAGGAAATGATTTCCTGCTTTGTTGCTGCTTCTTTTAGGTATGGCGTGGTAGAACGGATTTTTAGTTTTACAAAATGTAGCAATAATAATGGTATATAACATAAAAAGGCCTGTGCTTTATCATTATGCATAAAATCGTTGATTCCTTAAAGCAAAACTATTTGTTCAAGTAATGGTTTTAAGTAGATTTGATAATTCTAGACATGACATGACATGGAAGTTTCACCTAATTTCCATAAAGTGATATTAACATTTCTTGTTGGATTCCCTGCAAGGCATCCAAGGCAGGGTAACAGTTGCCATCTTTTGCTCTTTGATAAAATAATTTGCAGCTTAAAATTTGATTTCTATCCACTCTTCTTTGTACTAGTACTTTAAGAAGGGTATAATTCATTTCTGTAGACCAAAGTATCCTGAATAATCAGGATCTTTGATGAAGCGTATTTCAATAATCATCTACCATTGGGCCCTTCAGCTGTATGAAGTCACATGTGGCCTGGAGGGATTGTTTCAAGCTAATAACTGGGTTGCTAGTTTTATTAAGAACTCAGCTCAGTTGTGCTTGAAAAAAAAAAAGAAAAAGAAAATATATTTCCACCCAACAACAGCTTGTTAAGGAAATGACTCATTGGGAAGCAAAGAAGACTAAAAGTAAAGAGTTTCATGGAATTGTCAACGTCCAAATAGCTGAAACCTTGCATTCAAGAAGCATAATTGAGTTGCAGTTGATCAGATTCAATTGTGTTGAGGGCATTTATTCATAGTTAGGGATATTTTGAATATTTAGGCCAATTTGATATCTCAAATCGACATGACATATTCGGTATTACGTCGATTCAAATTTTGCTCTTCGCCTATAAACAAAGATACTAAAATACTATCATTTCATTCTATTCTATTTTTTTCAAAAATCTTATTTTTATCCCCTTCCAACTTCTTCATACTGATTTTTGATTTGTGTAATGGAGTATAAATGCGAAAAACACTCACTACATTTGTTTTTAACCGTTCTCTTTTTATTTATGTCTTTTCAAGATTACGAGCTTGGTGCAAACAAATTGTTTCAAAGGTTTTGTTGCAGTTTAGCAAAGATATGGCAGTACTTCCTGTGGAGCTCTGTCCTCATTGTTGGTTTCAAAATGAATCGCTACAGTTCCTGATACATCAACCAATGATGATCGACAAGAAACTAGACAACCCAGTCTCAAGCTTGTGTCATGAATTATACATCTAACAAGAATCATGTGCTTCGACTTAACATGGCATGGAGTCTCCTCCCAAATACATTATGATGGTGGCAGAGCAGAGTGGTCGTAAACAATTCTCATGGCCTCCAAAACCAAGTACCATTCCTTTGGTCATGCCTACCGAATGCACCCATTTGTTTTCTTGTTGGTTCCTAAGCCCAAAGAACATAACAACAAATCCAATGAAATCAATGCTCACATCTGGTGTACATAAGCTGCAAGCCAAATGGAATTAGCAGCTAGGATTTCAATTGTACAAATAAATTGAATTAAATTTTGTGTTTCATTTAATTTATATTTCAAGTAGAAATGCTTCACCTAAAAAAAAAAACTATCATTAATTAATTGTAATTTTAAATTATGTAAAATTTTATAATAAAAAGTTATAAATTAAATACTTTTCATCTCTCAAATAGTACTTTTTTAGCAGTGTTTCCTGCCGTTACTGTTGACCAGCGAAAGAAAAAATATTACTTTGAGACATCTAAAAAAAGGTGAACACTAAAAAAAAAAAAATGTTAATATTATTCGTATTTAATAAAAATTTTATTTTTTATTAGAATGCAAATGGAGATAAATATGTGTTTGATTTTAAATTTTTATTTGATAAGAATGTGTATAATTTTAAATTTTTATTTGATAAAAAGATGTGAATAAGTAATATAACATCTATCTTATACCCATATCTTATTTGTATATTTTTATATATTTAGTAAATAAATTTTTTATTAAATAATATAAATTATTATTTTAGATTAATTAGAATTAATATATTTTTATTAAAAAATATATTAATATATATTTATAAAAAATCTAAATATATAAGATAAAAAATTAAAAAAATAATTTTATTTTTTATTTTTTATTAGAATGCAAATGGAAATAAATATGTGTATGATTTTAAATTTTTATTTGATAAAAAGATGTGAATAAGTAATATAACATCTATCTTATACCCATATCTTATTTGTATATTTTTATATATTTAGTAAATAAATTTTTTATTAAATAATATAAATTATTATTTTAGATTAATTAGAATTAATATATTTTTATTAAAAAACATATTAATATATATTTATAAAAAATCTAAATATATAAGATAAAAAATTAAAAAAATAAATTTTATTTTTTATTTTTTATTAGAATGCAAATGGAAATAAATATGTGTATGATTTTAATTTTTTATTTGATAAAAAGATGTGAATAAGTAATATAGCATCTATCTTATACCCATATCTTATATGTATATTTTTATATATTTAGTAAATAATTTTTTATTAAATAATATAAATTATTATTTTAGATTAATTAAAATTAATATATTTTTATTGAAAAAATATATTAATATATATTTATAAAAAATCTAAATATATAAGATAAAAAATTTAAAAAATAATTTTTATTTTTTAAAAAAGTTATAAGTATAAAGACTATTTATACTCATTAAATATTCATAAAAATAAGAATGAAAATAAATTTAAAATATTTATTGAGTATAAATATAAAAAAATATATAATATAAAAATGAAAAAACGAAGATGATAAATATTTTACTCTTTTCGTACCTTATTTATTGATATCTATAAGAGAGAAGAATATTATTATTGTATTTAAAACTAAAATTTTTTATTTGATGTTATGTGTTAAAATTTTAAAATTAAATTTTTATTTAAATATAATTGGTTCACAGATAGTAAACAATTAATTCTAAAATTAATTAGTTATTAAACTTTTAAATTAAGGATGCTAGTGACGGTCATAGAAACGAGAGCGTTCAAACGGGAACCCGCGTTACCGCCACATTCCAAGTGGGACCCGGATAAAGAAATCACAGCCGTTGATCTCCGGAGACCCCCATTCAAGTAGACGAAGACACCCTAACAAAAGAGTGAGTGACAGAGTGCGGGTGTGGGCCCATCATCAAAATCTTTATCCTCTAATCTTAATAATCACCTTTTTTATCATTTCATTTTCTTCTTTCATTTTGATGCGCCGGTGATTGATCGGCAACAATGGCGAATTACCGTACATCAAGAAGCGGCGGCGGAGGCGGCGGAGGGCCAGTGTTGGGAGGGTTTGGATTTACATTTAGATTGTTGGCTTCTGCAATTACAATTGCTATCTGTTTCTTCTTTGCTCTTTCTTTCTTCTTCACTTCCCACCCTGACTCCCCTCATTTCCAAACCAATTTTGTAAGTACTAACTAACTAACTAACTAACTTTTCCCTCATTTTAACTGATTTTTTTTTTTCATTTTTCGATTCTGGAAGCTTGCCATGGTGACTGATTGTTCAGTGTCAATTTTTTTGGTATTTCTAGGGTTTCTCCACTGGTTCCTATGGAATCGGATCCAGAAGGAGGTCTGTTTTGGCACTCAAATCGGACCCGCTCAAGCCCCGACTGGATCAGATCCGGAAACAAGCCGACGACCAACGCTCTCTCGTCCTCGCCTACGCCTCTTACGCTCGAAAGCTCAAGCTCGAAAACTCGAAGCTCGCTAGGGTTTTCGTGGATTTATCTCGAAACTACTCGGACCTTATTAACAAACAATCTTATTGGGCACCCTTCGAAATCGATTCACTCTCCATTGACGAGTCGGTGCTCTGGCAATTCGAGTAAGAAGTGAAAGAGCGAATGAAAGCCACGCGCCAAATGATCTCTGAAGCCAAGGAATCTTTCGATAACCAACTCAAGATCCAGAAACTAAAAGACACGATCTTTGCGGGTCAATGAGGAATTGACCAAAGCGAAAAAGCAAGGCGCATTTTCCAGCCTCATCGCTGCGAAATCGATCCCTAAAAGCTTACATTATTTGGCAATGAGGTTGATGGAGGAACGAATAGCTCATCCGGAGAAATATACAGATGAAGGGAAGCCAATTCCTCCTGAATTGGAGGATCCCAAGCTGTACCATTACGCTGTTTTTTGGGAAAACGTACTTGCAGCGTCCGTGGTGGTGAATTCAGCCACCAAGAACGCGAAAGAGCCATGGAAACACGTTGTCCATGTGGTGACTGATAAGATGAATCTCGGAGCAATGCAGGTTATGTTTAAATTGAAAGATTATAATGGAGCTCATATTGAAGTGAAGGCAGTAGAGGATTATAAGTTTTTGAATTCATCTTATGTTCCACTGTTAAGACAGCTAGAATCCGCGAATTTGCAGAAGTTGCGACTAAAGAAACGACAAACAAGAAGTTTAGGAACCCAAAATATTTATCAATTTTGAATCATTTAAGGTTTTATTTACCCGAGATGTATCCCAGGTTGCATAGGGTATTGTTTTTGGATGATGATATTGTGGTGCAGAAGGATTTGACAGGGTTGTGGAAGATTGATATGGATGGGAAAGTGAATGGGGCAGTGGAAACTTGTTTTGGGTCTTTCCATAGGTATGCCCAGTATATGAATTTCTCTCATCCTTTGATTAAGCAGAAGTTTAATCCCAAGGCCTGTGCTTGGGCTTATGGGATGAATTTCTTTGATTTGGATGCTTGGAGGAAGGAAAAGTGTACGGAGGAATATCATTACTAGCAGAATCTGGTGAGTTTTGACTTTTGATTGCTACTCTTTGTTTGGTGTACTATGCCCTTGGTTTATTCTGCCTTTGTTGCTTGATTTGTGCTATTAGATAGATAGTGCAGCTACTTCTATAGTCTTAGCTTGATTACAGCGTTGGGAACATTAACCAATAATTTGAGATTAGTGAAACCGCCGGTAATAGCCATTAATTC